CGAGGTCCTCAACTCGTTGGCTCCTCCCGGAGGTTGAGGCCTTCCAATGACAGGGCCTCCTTATTCTTTCCTTTTAGCGTCACCACGTAGCATTGGCAGGTGATCTGCTGGTTCCCACGAACAACTCCGACACTGTGCTCAGTGGGAAACTTGAGGGCTAGGTGATAGGAAGACATGGCTGCCCCTAGTGCATGAAGTGTTGGCCTCCCCATTATTGCGTTGTTGGGAGAGGCAACCTTCACCACTAGGAACTCATGCATCCAGGTCACCTGGTGTGGTGTTGTCCCTACCATGATGGGTAGGGTAATTTTTCCTTCCGGCCTAATGATGCTACTGGAGAAGCCAACAAGGGGAACATTGACAAGTCGGAGCCACTTTGGCACGAGCTTCATTCTCTCATTGGTGTCGTAAAAAAGGATATTGGCTGACAAGCCACTGTCCACCAAGATCTTCTTCAGCATAAAGCATCGTCGTGGGGGACTGTGACCCCCTCTATGTCCCCGTTGGTGAAGACGAGGGCATGTGGACATCTTAGTCTTTGTGGAGCATCCGAGTACTTCTACTTCTTCGGGGCAAGCTTCTGAATGTTAAGTTGCCTGGCATAGGCTTTTCGAGCTAAGGCTAAGGCTCCACCCAAGGCCATGCCCCCAGCGATGATGTCGATGACGCCTGCCACTTGATGATGTTGCTGCTACTAGGAGGACAAGGTGCCGGCCTCTCCTCCGACGAATTGCTTGAGGTGTCCGCAGCAGATAAGGGACTCTATCTCGTTCTTTAGATCGTAGCAGTCTTCGGTGTCATACTTGGTGTCGCGGTGATAGTTATAGTACTTCGTAGGGTTCCCCCTCTTGGGGTTCCACTTCAGCTTCATTGGCCACTTCACAAACTTCTCCTCCTCGATTTGCATCAGTATCTGAGTGCAGGTGGAGTTGAGTGGTGTGTAGTCCTTGTAAGCCAAGGCTGAGGCCGATGGCTTCTTGTTGTCTTTGCCGCCATGGTTGTCGGGGTGGTGCTGGTCTCCACCTTTCCTCTTTTTCTCCGGGGGCCCGTTGTGGTGCTCGACTGCCCTTTCTTGGTTGTCCCCGGCCAAAGCCTCTTCGACCGCGATGTATTTTTGGGCCTTCTTGAGGAATTCAATCTTAGTCTTCGACTGGGTCTTGGCGACCAAGCACTTGAGGGCTGAGCCGGTGCAGAGTCCGTTAATGGCGGCGTGCATGGAGACCATAGGGTCGAGGTCTTGAACTTCAAGCTCTTCCTTCTTAAAGCGGTCAATTTAGGACCACAAGCTTTCACTCGACTCTTGCTTGAGTGACATCAGAGAGACTACACTCTTATGGCATCGTCTACCATTGATGAAGCGAGCGAGGAACAAAGTTGTAAATTGCTCCCACGAGCTAATTGATCGAGAAAGGAGGCTGGAGAACCAGCGGTGAGCAGCCCCCCTGAAGGTGGCTTGAAAGGTCCAGCACGTTAAGGCGTCGGAATACCCATAGAGTATCATGAGCGCCCTGAAACCCTCCAGGTGGTCATCGGGGTCGGTGCTCCTGTCATACATTTCTAGTTGGGAGCCTTGAAGTGTGGGGGAAGAGGCTCCGAAATGATTTCCGGGGTGAACGCGTCCATGCGACCAGCGGAGTTGTCGTGACTGATTGAGGCGTCGGCTCAACTCTCCTTAATGGCCTCAATCTCGGCTCGCAACTCAGCAAGCCCTGGGTCAGTACGAGCATGGGCTCCGCTTCTATCCTTGCGGACTTGGTGGGCGTCAACTCAGACTCCCGAATACTCCGAGATAGGGTCGCGTGTTCCTTTGCGGGCGTGACGGTCATTCAAAATGTCCCGGAGTTCCGAGACGGGAGGGGGAGTGGCGTGGCGTCGGCTCTCACCTCAGGAGAAAACTCCAGGACGGCCGAGATGCCCATCATCATCCTGGGGGACCTCCCTCCGGCGGCGGTGGTGTTGCTCTGAAGGTTGATGACTACATTCGGATTGAGCGGGCACGCTTTCCCTTTGGCTAGGACAGATGTTCCTTCATGGTGAATTCGTGGGATGGTTGTTGCCCAATTCTGATGGCTCAACTAGCAAGTTACCATGGGCGAGGGCTGGTGGCTCGACATTCTCATGTCAGCCCTGATCCTCTGACACCCCAGTGAGGCGATCACTTCGAGAAGGACCTCCTGCTCGGGGGGCAAACTTGTTCCATTCGTTGAATATAGGTGGTCCAGATGATCGAGGATAGCCTGAAACTGTTCATAAGTGACCAATTTCTAATTGTTCCTGATTCTCCGCACCATGGTTTTCAAGCTTAAGAGGGCTTGGATTTAGAGTATTTTTTTTTTATCCTAAAGTAAGGGTCGTCTTAGCAACGCATTCCCGCAGACGACGCCAATTGTTGCCGCACCGATTGACTAGGGGCAACGAGGTATATTCACTCTCCAGGTTCTGAAAGTAGGCCGAAGACTTCGAGGCCTCGGAAGAGGTGAGCTGAAGACGAGGGCCGTAGGCCGAGGCGTGGTATTCCTTCCAAGGACCATAGAAGCCGAGGACTGTAGGTTGTTCCTTCATGGACGAGGTTTCTAGAGACCGGGGGTACTGCAAAACAGGGAATGTTAGAGGCCTCGAGCAAAGGCTCTGACGCTCAAGTTAGTACGAGGTGTAAAGTAGGAGAGGGTGCAGACGAGGTCTTAGTGACAGCCCTTGGGTGCACCGAATCTCCTAGAGTAAATGCTAAGGGAGCAAGGTAGGTGTGAGGAGTAAATGAGTGAGCTGTGCTAGAAGTCCCTGTTCCGGATCCTCTTTAAGAGGGAGTTACCTCTTATTTATACTTGAGTGTGTTGAAGATAGGTGCAAATAAATACCCCGAATGAGAGTCGTACGAGGTCAGGCGACAGACCCTGATGGATACATTTGATTGTCATGCGATTGGCTCCATACGAGGAGAGCAGGGCTCCCCTTAATGTAGCATATCTTTTTGGCATCATAAATTTTCCCATATTCTATATACACTAATGCAAATAGGGATACTATATACTCTTGACGTCATTCATTACAAGTCAGCAAGAAATCATTAAGAGAAGAAGAAAAACTAATTAATAGAATTAAATAGTTGGATTCTTTGAATGTTAGTTGCAATAGCACGAACTTCAAATAAGATAAACATTGATTAGTTGTTGCTAATGAAATAAAGTAGATGCTTTATCATGTTATTAGTCTCTAAAACGCAATTAAGGTGTGGATTTGGTGGTTTATCCATGTGCTCTGATAGCTATTGGAACAAGTGTCCTTAAGATCGTCACAGGTTGGTCTGTCCAATCCAATCTTCTAATTCCTTAATTATAAACTTACTCAGAAGGAAAGAATAAAGAGAAGCTAGCAGTGGGAACAAATCACAAATTAACAGAAAAATCTTTCTTATTATTCCTTCCTAATATCCTACCTACCTATTATATATGCTCTGCACATGCTTGGTTGGACCTTAATCTACTATTTCCTTGATTTTCATTCTTGGGTCCCATTTTCATTTTCAATCATAGAAATTACATTATTATTAATCATTTATTATCTATGATCATGAGAGTTGGATAAAAGTTTTTGTGTAGTTTTATCTAAAACCCATAGTGTAAGACAAATTTATTCAAGAATTTAAATAACAAATTGATATACCAATTGAACACCTAATCTCCAATCTAGGTGATGTATTTATCATTTTCATGAATATAATCCGTTATATAAAGAGGATGCTAAATATGTTGATGGAAAATTAATTTTGCAATGGTAAATGAGATTGCATATATGACCTCAGACAAAGATCTCCTGCACCTTTGAAGGTGCTGAGTGAAGAAAAGGTGGAATGCATGCTAATATGTTTGGAGACAATATCTTATTCTAAACCCAACAATGAGATATCTAAGAGTCATGCTTATGCTTATGTTGGAAGGAACAGTGATAAAGGATGGAATTAGAAACATAAGGATCTTATATAAATTTCTTAGAAACCATCTCCAGCCAGAGGTCCTCTCTCTGCATGTGCAGATACAGGGTTATCCACCATTAACTCTCAACTCCTATACGACCAATGCCACTTTGTTGGAGCTGGACATGTAAGGGTGTTAATGGACAGGTTCTGGATTGGACCCCGTCCAGTCCAAAATCAATTTGGACAGATTGAATGGGCCAATAAGACATATTGGATTGGACCAATCCAGTCCAAAATATTTATTAGATTGGATTGGACCCGGTTCGTCTATAACAAGTTTATATTGGATTGGGTTGGATTAAGCTAATATCTGGTCCATTGATATAAGATAAGAATATATGTGTCAATAGATTGAGTTTGGGTTGAAACCAATCTAAATCAAAATAAATTTAAACAGACTGGATGGTCCAAACATTGAATTTGACCGATATAAATTGGTCCAAAGCATTCATTGGATTGGATTGAACCTGATCCATTTATAATGGACTCACATTGGACTGGATTGGATTGGACCAAATCCAGTCCAATTGACACCCTTATGGACAAGGACCCAGATTCACACACAATATAATAAGAAATGAATCTGCTACAATAGGGGAGTTGAGGAATAATCCAGGGTGTTTTGTTGGGGTATTGAGGAATCATGTGAAAGCATGTGCATTAATGAGTTGGAGAAAATGCCCAAAGCAACAAGCAAACCCTAGCTGGGGAGTCTGATTGTTGGTGATCAACCCACCTTTGATTGGCCCCTTACCCTTGGAGTTGGAAGGCTTGGTGATGAAATTTGTTTGTAGGCCCCCACCTTGGCCGCTCCAATTGATTCCATGCACAAATTAAAGGTCACCTGCCCATTTTTTATTTTATTTTATTTTTCAAATAAGAAGCCATCATCATCTGGCCTTAACCTCCTTCAGCAATTCTGCAACTGGGTCTTCTTCTCTGTAATCAAATTCAAAGGAGGAGAAGTTGTTGTCTAGCTTCAAGGTTTTATGAGAGTTGGGTTTATTTTCTTTAGTATTGTTAGATCATGGGTATTCCTTCAAAATCTTTCTTTCTATCCCTTGATTTGAATGGTGATATCACAGAAAGAAGGGACTCCTTCTGGTGCAAAGTTTTTGAAGTGAGAGCCATGAGAAGAAGGCAGGAGAGGAAATTCAAGCACAGGATGAAGAAGATCTGTGGAGGCCATGGATGGAGCACAAGACCCAGAAGAAGTTTGATGAAGAGAACAAGGCGAATGAAGGGGATGGAGAGAAAAGTTAGAACCCTAAGGAAACTTGTCCCAAATGGAAAGTCCAGAGGCTTGGGAGAGCTTTTTGAGGAGACTGCTGATTACATATTGTTTTTACAAATGCAGGTGAAGGTTCTGCAGGCTCTGGTTAAGGTGTCGACTGATTCTAATTTCTAACCAGTGATTGAGATTCATTCATTTGTAGAGATTGATATTCTATTCTTTCTTTTATTTATTTTTTTCATTTCAATCATTTTAGAACCAGATTTGTTGTATTCTATTTCTATCTTATCTATGATTTGAAGAGAAACAAGCTTTGTTGTCATGTACCCATTTGAAGTTGTAAATGGAATTTTCTTCTCTTTTATTATTGTTCAATTCTAGGCTTCTAGTAGGAATGGCTTAAGCTTTCCATTTACCAATACAATAAATCCAGTGGTTTGATGCCAATATGGGATCAAGTGGATCATCATGATGCATACCTTCCCTGAACCCTCCTTAAATTGCCGATGGCGATGGTTGAGAATCTGGATTTCTTCCTCATAGAATCTTTCCAATGTTGCAGCCGTACATTGGGAACATCTTCCATATACTTGTATGTTTTCATTCATAGGGAGATGTTCTCAATGCATGTCTGCAAATGCCGTGAGATGGGTGTGAAGAGGAAACCTGAACTCCATCCATGACCATGAGTGAGGAAAAAATTAAGGTGGGCCTGGGCCAAAAGCAGTAATGGGTTGAAACTTGGACTTCACCCAAGCTATGCCTAACTTGACAAAATCATGGTTTTAAATGGGTTGGGCTGGTTTATATTTTTTGGGTTTTAAGATGGGCTTGGACTTGCAAAATAATTTGGGCTTGATCTAAACTTTTTGGGCTTACGGTAAGACCCTAGCAAGCCCAACCTTCAACTGAACCCGGTCAAATCCAATTTGAGCCTGACCAAACCGCTTAGCTTAGGTGCAATATTTACTATATAATATAATGACTATATTTGCTCTGGCCTCACGTCCAGACGACTATCTCAAGATTTTGTCAGTCACTCACATCCACGTGCTACCCAACTAATCACTGGGTTGGGGTTGGAATTGGATTGAGCCTAAACCCGACTCAACCCGTCCGAGTTGGACCAACAAAAACGGGTACTATGCCACTCCTTTCTTCCTTCGAGGCGTAGACCGGAGAGTTTCAGAGTTCAGTTCTAACTTCTAAGAATGGAAGAGTGCAGTGTATTCTCCTCCTTTCTGTCTCGAATGACTTCTTCATCATCATCCTCTGTGGTTTTGGAACGGAGGGGCATTCCAGGAACTGCATTCGTGGAGGATGTTCAAGCATATCTCACACAATCAGGCTTGGATTTGAACTCTTCCCCCTGCATTTCTTCATGAAAGGTCAGGCTTTTTAATTTACTCATGTGTCCGTGATCTTAATCGGCCATTATGTCTTGAGAAGTTCAGTTCAGATTCTGAGTTTCCAGCTTCTACCTACGATTTTGTTGGAGGTTTTCATGATTAGTCGTGTTGTGGTGGTTTTGGATGAATGGACAATTTGATGATTTTGTGATCATCTATGTATTACAGCACTTTGATTTCTCTTAACCTTGATTAATGGATTGATATGGACGCGCAGAAAATAGTAAAAACTTTTCTTTTTGTCGCATCGAATATGCTTTTTGCGTTTATATATAGTTCCTTCTGTTATTGGTGATTAATATTGGAGTCATAGACATGGGGGTCGAAGCACATCCGGTCAACTAATTGAGTCATTAAATAGTCTCTTACCAGGTTAAGTGAATAGCATTTTCTTATACGCAGTAATCAAACAACCATTACCTCGAACTCGGTAGCCACGTACCAAAAGCAAAAGAAAGAAAAGAATTTGGACACAATTTCTTCCCAAATTGTTACTTCTTGATTGTTGGAAAGTTCAGTTTCTTCTTTTCTTCGTTGAATATCATTCCATTTCCAAACTCTGATTACTTTCCTTTTTTTCTCAAGTTAGTTACTGATCTTCAACCTTTAAAGTTGTTTACTCCTAGATGCTGATCTAGCATCGCAGTCCCAGATTTGACACCTATAAATTCTCTAAGTTCCTTCTGCAGGGGAAACAATGGTTACTTTAATGTACAGTTCTATTTAGTGAATTAGGCCTTCTGAGCCTCCTGATGGCTGCTTCTAATTAACAAATTCCTATCCTTATTAAGAATACATTCTCCCACCTAACCACAAGCGGATTGCAAGGTCCCAGCCTAGAAACTCAAAAGGAACTTCCATGACTGAACTGTAGAGAAACCTAAAATGAGAGAATATGGCTCTTCATTGGACCGAACTTTTTGTCCTTTTAAGCAGTGAATCTTACCATATTTTGTTGGATTTCACTGAATTAATAATATGTATGGTAATTTTGTCCAATGTTTAAATGTGCAAGAAGCATGAAATGGGGCACCAAAACCTTTAGATTTGTGAGGTATAAGCCTTGAGGTGTAAGGATTAAAATGAAATTAAAATGTTAGAGGTGCATGTTTTCTACATGAAGACCACATTAATGAAATGTTGATAAAGTAAACAAGAACCATGGGAATGTTATGAGCTTTAGAGAAAGCAATTGCATTTAGAAACCATTTAATAACTAGAAAAAAAAGATTTAAACGTAAAGCAATACCTCTTTAAAATGTTAGAGCATAGGTACTATTACAAATACATACATAACACACACACACACATAGGCATCTCAAGGTAAAACTTGCAATCCAAATTACTTTATAATGTTGATACTTCCTTCTTTTCATGCACAGATGACCATCTCAAAATTTTAGTCCACTTTCCACTCTCGTCTCTTCTCTTGCTTTCTTTCTCTGCTCACATGCATTTGCACATGCTACTCAACCAGAGCTCCTTTCCACTGCCACTTTTTTCCCCTGTTTCAAATCCAAAAACCAAAAACAGAAAGAGAATAAAGGAAGATATAATATTAAGATGACAAGCATAAGAATGTGAGTTTTTTCTGAGAAGACCTACTTTGTACAAAAACTTTCGAAGGTTAGGTCCATATCTAGTCCACCCCTCCCATGAGCTTAAATAGCTAGGACCAACATTGGTTAATGGCCCAGTATAGGATGGTATAACTTCATGTACATGATGAGTTTTAAAGCCAAAATAAATAAATAGATAAGCATTACCTGGGTAAAAATGGTCTACAGCCCACTATCTCCTGCCTCTGAATGGTCTACAGCCATTCATCATTTCATCCACAATGCCTTTGAATTTTCTTGATTAGGTTTTAATTAGTAGCAGAGAAGGCAGAAAGGTTATCATTCTTGCATCCCTTCTTAAATACCTTAGGTTGTCTTTCTCTATGAATTTGTGGTTTCTGAAACATCTGGTGGAATATACTCAAATCATTAGTTGGGTATATGGCTCATTTCAGGGCCTTGTAAGCTTAGCCTTCCCATTAGAGAGGCAAGATCCTTATCCATGAGATTGAACTCTTTCTCCTATCTCCCTATCCATGAGGTTCGGATCTTGGAATTCTAATGTATTTTTTATCATTGTAATTCGTATTTGATCTTATTACTGATCCAAAAAAATCAAATTAACAAGGTGAGGTAATGACCCTTTTCTCATGTTGATTTGCTCTATTGTCTAAGAGCTGAAAATTATGGGAGAAGAGGTTCAGTGTTCAAAACACATGACCCATATTGAGTTGTTCATTTGGTGCTTAATATGGAAAAGGGACCAGCTTTAATGAATGCAAAGTTTTGTGTAATGCATTCAAGAGTTTGACTTACTGCTGTTCTCATTTTATATCTTATAAAGAAATTCATTGAACTAATTCTAGAGGGAATAACGTCCCAAAGTATGTAAGTTAGAATTTGAGCAATCTATTAACACCTTGATACGTTATTGGTCAGAAAAAAAAATGATTCATTTTGGACTTATTTGTTGCCTAATTTGTATTGATCTTTTATTCATGCTCAGCAGAGGGATTTCAGGTACTTTATCTTCTTGGTCTAGTTTACTGATGTTCAAACTTATCAATCTCACACCCATAGCACAAAACTCAAATGACCTGACTTAACTTTGTACTTGTTGGGTTTGATAAGAAACATATAATTTTTTTTTTTTTGGTGAATAAGAAACATATAATTGAACCTGATAGTAGCTTCTTGGTATTTTTGAGTCAACTTGGAAGAATTGATAAACTGATTTGGGAAATGGTTGTTTTTTGTCACATTTTGTTGTAGCTTTAAGTTGGAAGATAAAATAGTAAATAGTTTTAATTTTCAACTTTTTTTCAATATTTTGTTGCTTAAACAGACAAATTAAATCAACTTTTGTTTATATTTTCTTGTTAGACTTTAAATTTGATGCCAAAATTGGCTTTCAGTTGCATGTTGGATTAAATTAGAAAATCCTCTTCTCTCAAGTGGTATTCATTCTATTGAAGCTTAACAAGTAGAGATCTCCATTTTTATGTTAAACATTAAATAAAAGTTCTTGATGCTCAAGTTGAATGATATCATTCCATTTTTCAAATACATAGTTACTGCTTGGTTTCCCTGTGAGTTTCTTTTATAACTTGCATTGTTCTCTCCGCTCTCATAGTGCTGTCGAAACTCACTTTTTTGCTTCTTGTGTGTACTAGGCAAAGGTACCTGACGTAGGGAAGTGCTTAGATAGCAATCTGAAAAGGGTACCGGTGAGGCTTGTTTTTCATAATTGTATTTATGTTTTCCTGCTGGATTGTCATTACATTTTGATACTTCTATCTAATATATTCTCCTAAATTTCATGTCTACCTAAGGTTTTCATATTTTTTCTTATTATATCTTTTCCTTTTGTTGGGAGGGATCTCTTGACATCTATATTGATGGTTTTTAGTTATGTGTTGAATATGTTACTTCGATTATGACACAACAGTTGAGGGGAATCTTTCATCCAAAATATTTCACTATAAAATCTTGCATTTTGAGACAAAGTTTTTTTTTTGATAAAAATTAACATTTTTATTAATGATCAAAAGGAAAACCTGAAGTACCCAAGAAGGTATCAGGATCAATACAAGAAAACAGCAAAAACTGACCATACAAGAAAATACTCATATAGACACCCCTGTTACAGCAGAGCCCCAGGACCTGGCATACCCCAGTCAGAACCTTGTCTAGATACTCCTGTTCTGGCCAAAGAATCAGCTAGGGAATTATCCGATCTGGGAGCCCACTTGAATGAGCAGTTCAAATTTCTACCCAGGAAATATGCTTCCCTAACCAAAAATCTGAATCTCCATGGAAGGTCAGGTCCTCTTCATAATTTAGCCAAATAATAATCACCTTACAGTCCCCTTCAATTAGTATGTACCACCAGTTCTGTGACTTAAGCAGCTTAAGGCTTTGAAGCTGGGTCATCAACTCTTCTGTCAAAGAGTTACAGATATCAATCCAACCTGAGAAGCTCAGCATGATGTTTCCACCTTGGTACCTTACGACACCTCCCACACCAGACTCAACAGGATAGCTGGCCTAAAGAGCACCTGTCAAAATCAAATTTGAGCCTGCCTGCTTCAGAATGTTGATAAATAGCTTCTCTTAGCGGTCTACATTCAGATTTGGGAACCTGATAAGCCTGGTATAATCAGTTAAAAATTACTTTTTATTTGTTTAGCTTTTTTGCATTTATTTGTACTTGTATAAGGTTGTTTTGTTTTCAATTAATTATTGCAATATTTACATAGGTAGAAATTTACTAAAACATACGTTATACCTACCAAGTTCTTAATCCCTTTTACTGAGCTAGTTAAAGTGTAACTCATCTTGCCCTTGTCTGATTCTGAAACACATCCCTGCATCCATGTATGATTGCTCAAGGTGCATATGTTCAGTTCAAGAATGTTTAACCATTAATAAGTTATCTATTTTATTAAAAAAAAAAAGAAACAGATTGGGTTATGGATCCAACACCAAGCACAAATATGTAGTAAGAAAATGTTTTTTTTTTTTTTTTTTTTGAAAAGGTAAGGTAATCAGTGTTTTAAAAGGCGTGGGAGGCGTGCCTCCAGGCGAGGTGCTCCCAAAATGCCCCGAGGCGTGTATGCCAGAGGCGCACCTTTTTTCATGAGGTATGCTAGAGGCATATGCCTCATGTGCCTCATGCACATCTTTTATAAAAAGACAAAAAAAAAGGAAAAAGAAAAAAAAAAGGAAAGGAAAGGAAAGGAAAAGAAAGGGAAGGGAAGGGAAAGGAAAAGAAAGAGAAGAAAAAAAGAGAAAAGGAAAGAAAAGAAAAGGAAAGGGAAGGGAAAAAAAGATAAGGGGAAACAAAGTGGTTTGCCCCCTGCCCCTTCAGCTGGCGAGCCCAGACCCTCCGCCCCCTTTTCGATGCAGCCCAATTTGTTTTTTTGAGTCCCTAGGAATCCAAGCTAATTTTGCATTTAAACAGTCCAAGGAGTCCCTAGCCTCTGCCAAGTAGTGGTTCAGTCTCCAAGGTCCCCCCTTCCTTATCCCTTAACCATTTTATGGTATTTGCTGAGTCACCTGCAATGATTAAGTTCTGGATTCCCAAATTTTTTATTATTCTGATTCCTATGAGAGCTGCCATCACTTCAGCCTTTGTGGAATCAGCCAGTCCGATTGAACGTACCGCATATGTTACCCCTTTCATCCCTTACTATGCCTCCAATTCCAGCTAAGCCAGGATTTTTTTTTTTGATAGATAAAATATCATATTTCCATTAAATCAGAAAGAAATTACATAATCAGTCCCTTGGGAAGGCACGAGATGTCGCCTCTCCAAACATGAAGCACATAAAATCTTAAAAAACAGAATCTAAAGCAAAATGTTCATGTGTACTAAAACAAAATTACAGCTCAGCCCAAAATAGTGTTTCCCGAGTTGTGCCTTGTTTTGCCAAGCTATTAGCGAAGGCATTAGCTGATCTCCTCACCCACTGTACACTAACAGTCATATTCCTTGCATAGTTGTCAAGGTGACGCCTAGGCGACTAGGCGGTTTTACAGTGTTGCCTCGCCCAAACGCCTATAGTTTTGTATACTAGGTGACCGCCCAGAGACTTAGGCAGGTACCTAGGCGACTAGGCGAGCACCTAAACACAAGGCAGGCGCCTAAATAAAGTTAAGAAATTTTTTTTTTCATATTTATTATTCTAATATTTTTATTGGCTATTATGTTGTTTTAAAATACAACTGGTTACATGTTAACATTTTATTATTAAGCCACACTAATAGAATACATCTTATTTTCATTTCTTTAGTTCATTTGTTGTCTTGAAAGGGTTTTTGCTCGACTGAAGAGGGAGGAGAACCGAAGGCTTCTAGTTCCAGCTCCATCTCCAGCCCAACTTCGAGCTTCAGTTGGTAAGCTGCTGCTGCTTCTTCTTCTTCTTCTTCCAGTCAGCTTCAGTGTTTTTTTTTTTTTCTTTTTCCAAAAAAACAGGGGCTCCACCCCTATACTTCTTCTTCCAGCCCAGATTCAATGCTTTTTTTTTTTCGAAAAAACAGGGCCTCCGCCCCTATTCTCTTCCCTTCTTCTTCTTCTTCTTAAATATATTGTAGTATAAATATAGATTTTATATTTATAGATTTCATGCCTAGGCGCCTGGGCACCCCATGCTTGCCTAACTTCGCCTAGTCGCCTTGACAACTATGGTTCCTTGTCAACCATTTGTATTTCTTTAGCTCATTCTTGTAACCCCACAACGATCTCCGGGTTATTTATCCACTCCACCACTACCTTAGAGTCCCCTTCAATCAGCAACTGCTCCACACCCAATTCTTTTGCAAGGAGGACCCCTTGCATAGCAGCTAGCAATTCTGCCCTAACAGAATTTTCAATGCTCAATGGGCCAGAGTATAGAAGGATAACCTCTCCAGCCTCATTTTTCAAGACACCTTCCATCCCAGAGGGCCCTGGGTTGCCTTGGTTACTCCCATCAGAATTCAGCTTTAGAAAACCTTGAGGGGGGGGGGCAGTTTGTACAGACCCTTTCCTTTGAGAATGAACAACTTGCTACTACTAACCAGTTCCTCCATAAATCATTAAAGGAAAATTGGTGAAACAGTTCCATAGTCTTTAACCACTGTATTGCCCCATTCAAAATGCAGTCTTTTAGGGCCTGGCTGCTCCTCTCCTTCTCTTGGAAGATTCTAGCATTCCTTTCTTCCCGAACTGCCCATATCAAAGCAGCTCTCACACACCTCTACATTCTTCTTCCTCTTTTATGGGGCCAAGAGAGAGTAAATGGGTTAAACGACATGCTTACTTCTGATGGCATCTCCCACCTGCACCCAAACAAAGAGAAAAGCAAAACTAAAGCTCTGTAGTGACACTACAAGATAAAAATAAATGGTAACAGTCCTCACCATGTGATCTGCAAAGAGTACACCAGTTAGGTGAGATACAAAGAAAGGGTCTTCTCTTTTGTAGGTTATCCATAGTGTTAACTTTCCTGTGACACACTTCCCAACATAAAGCCATAACCTTAGGGGGAACTGACCTACACCAAACTTATTTGAAAGGGAAAACCTGTTGAGAGGGCGAGTTGCAAAGTGACTTATAAAAGGAACCATAGGAAAAAAAACCCCTTTTTGATGAGGGGCCCAAATCCTCTTATTTGGCTTTAAGGGGTCCAACCAAATCTTTTCAAGGAGACAAAGCAAATTAGACAAACACTGGATTTCCTCATCCCTTAACCCTCTACGAAAACCAAAATCCCAATTCAAGGCTGACGGGTTTAACACAAAAGGAAGGAATTTTGAAATCACCTCATTTTTATACAAAGAAACAAAGAACAAGGATGGAAAGAGGTCTTTAAGAGGAGCATCCCCTGCCTAAGTGTCTTCCCAAAACCAAACAGAATTACCAGAGCCTACACCATACCTGACATAACTAATGAATTGTGGGAGGAGTTTGTGAATTGCCTTCGATGGAGTTGCTAGATTAGCCCTCCTTGCTGCACCAACATCCCATCCATTTTCTTCATACCCATGAATACTCTTCACACTTCATGCTAAAGCCTCTCTCACTCCAAAGGCCACCTCCACAACCACTTCCCTAGGCGGTATCCTAAAGACAGAGAGGTAATAGGTAGGTAGATTCGTGAGGGTGGCTTTTATCAAGGTGATCCTTCCACCCAATGAGATATAATTCTTTTTCCACAAAGCTAACCTCTTTTCGAATCTCTATTACTGGAGTCCAAAACCTACTCTCCCTAGGATTTGCCCTTAACGGAAGCCCTAGATAGGACATAGGCCAAGAGGATACAGTACACTCAAGACAACTTGCAATATCCTCAATTTCCTCAATCTCCTCAATCTCCAAGTTGACCCTCGCTATGCAGCACTTTTCTAAGTTGATTTTCAAAAGGGAGATTTCTTCAAAAGTTTTAATCAACTCCTTCAGGTTTTCCACCTTCTCACTATAGCCCCTATCATAGAAAATCATCAAGTCATCTGCAAACAAAAGATGGGTAACTGGAATTTGGTTTCTGCCTATTCTCCATCCCTTTATGATCTCTTCCCTATCGGCTCTAATGATAATACGACTAAGAACATCGGCTCCAAGTTAAAGAGGAAAGGTGATAGAGGATCCCCTTGTCTTAAACCCCTACTGGCTAGAAAAAAATCCCTTACCATCCCATTTACAAGGATGGAATAATGATAGCTGCTAACACATCTGTTAACAGGT